GCCGCTCCGCGGCATGTGGGATCTTCCCGGACCGGGGCACGGACCCGCGTACCCTGAATCGGCAGGCGGACTCTCAACCACTGCGCCACCAGGGAAGCCCCTGTGAAATTCTCGAGGGCAGGGATCCTATCTTTATCTCTTCCATCCTCCTCAGTTCCTAGGACAAGGTTAAAGTCCCAGGTAGGTCCTCAGAACCAGGTTGCTAATAATCGAATTGAAGGAAATTTGGGAGAAGAATGGTGTGAAAGAGAGGCTGCAGGGGAGAAAGAGGAGGGAGAAGATGGGCTCCGGCTGTAGCAGTTTTCATGCAGGGCATGGCCACTTCCATTGAGTCTGGGATTCCAGGCTCTGTGGATGGATGTTGTTGGGGTGACCATCCCTCCCCTCCCCCATAACTATTTGCATTTGGGGCTGGGCTGCTTTGGGGGGGGTCTCTGCCCCTCCCCCCCGTAACAATTTGCATCCAGGAATTTACATAGATGTGAAGGAGCTTTCTGAGAGGAGGCAGGGCCTGGCCACCTTGCCATTTTCCTCCTTTGTTGTTCAAAGGCACCTGTGGTGAACCTGGACCTGGAGGTGTGGGCAATGGAGCCAGGTTGCAGAATGGTATGGCTGCTCCCCTGAGTAACTGGGCTTCTCCCTGAGGCTCTCAGTAATAGCAGTCCTGTAGCTCCTTGGTGACCTACCTGGGATTCCTCGGCATCTGCCCAGCTATGCTAGAAGCAGTTGAGACCAGCAAGTAGGGCTGTGTGGGGAGAGGGTCACTGTGGACATTTTATCGTAAATGTAAACGGGATCTCCCTTGTAGGCCCAGGAAGGGGAAACCTGCCACATTCATGCTGCTCCCAGGTCCCCTTAGGCTGCTCCCTGTCTGGACCGCCCTCTCCCCAGGGTGATGCTTGGTAAACTCCCCGGGGGGACCTGGCTGGATTCCCCACGGTGGAGGAAGACTCTGCTTGAAGGCCTCTGTAAGCAGGTCTGTCTCCTGAGTGAAATGGGAACCATGACTATCTCCCAGGGCTGCGAAAGAGGAAAACCAGATCTTATTCAGGCCAAACAAAGGGCTTGAAATTGCTTTACTTCTGTCTCCCCACATGTCTCCGATAAGGCTGGCAACCCGGAGCCCTCCATCTCAGAGCACCTGGACCAGCGGGTCCCCCGGATGGTGCTGAGGGCATGCATCCCAGGCAGAGGGACTGCTCCGAGCCGTCTGGGTTGCTTCTCAGCCTCGAGTTCCCGCTCGGACAAAGGATGTACTCAACCATAACGCCCATGGGACCAAAGGCAAGGCGGCAGGTGGAAGCAGAGCTGCAAAGATAGAAGTCGTTGGAGGAGCACGGAAAGGTCAGTGACCCTGTGAAACCGAAACACTGTTTGGAGGTTTAGACAGGGAGAGCCAGGAAGCACGGAGCGGGCTCCTAGTGGAAGAAAGGTGAAAAGAGAAAAATCAATGATGCGGGAAGCTCCTCCTCACATCCTTCAAACGGCTGCTGGGGGAAGAGGGGGAGGGCGCGCAGGATCTGGGAATGTATTAGCTGCCTGATCGCGTTACCAAGGGAGTTGTGGAGCCCCAGTGCCCGGCCGCCTCTCACGAGACGGCAGATAATTACGGACGGGTCTCTGGTTTGACACAGCTCCGTCTCAGGGAGAGGGATGGAATATATGACCCCCTTCAAGGCCCCCTTATCTGTACCAAAGCAGGTTACCGCAAGACAAAGAGAATTCTGGCAGCTATCATATAATTAGTTGTGTTGTATGCTTCCTTTAGCTTTTAAGAGAATCTCCCAACGAAAGTCCTAAGTGCTCAAGACCACAAAGAATTTGAGTTCACTCCCCGTCCCCAGCTGTCTTTTATTTAAATAATAAAAGCTCCAGGCTCCTGAAATCTTGATGCAGTGGCTTGATGGGTAACAAGAGCAGGATCTTTAGCTTTCATTAGAAACGCCTGTGTTTCTCTTTGGTTAAGGGAGAGCGGAGTATGTTGGAGCAGAGTATTTAGATGAGGCTCTTAATTTGAAAAGAATGTGAGAATTAATGCTTAAGTTTAATCGGAGCCTGAATCATCACAGATAGATTTTTACCCTCTTTTCCTTAATCAGTTTCACCCGAATTAATTCTTCTGTGGCTAAGTCTTGTTGCATTAGATAGTCTGCTGATTATTTCCACAATCAAGGGACTGTATATTCATGCATCTTTAATAAGGGAGGACTGCAGCCTTTCTCATAAGTGATCCTGCTGGTTGGCAGTTGCAGCAGCTAAAATAATTATAGAGCAGATTACTTACCTTTAAAGCATTGTTTGCTGTCATATTCATGCTAGGTGACAATTTGGAAGAGCTCCTAAGGCTGCTGTAATCGGGAAGAGGAGCTGGGTATTTAAGTGGCAATTTTCAATGTCAAGTGCTGTTTATTCATAGGTCAATGCCTTTTTAAAAAAATAAAAAATAAACACAGGGGTAATTTGGTCCTGCTGGCTGATGAAGCCATGTGCTACAGACTTGCAGGTCATTCTAATTCTATGCTTAGTTTAAAACCTTGACTCTTAGAAGGATCTGCTTCTGAAGGCTACGGGGCACCTTCTGCCTTCAACCATGACTGGTCCAAATGTGGTTCCTCATGTCTGATTATGACTTGTGTGATGGGGTGCTCTCGTATCAGACTCTGCAATCTAGAAGGCTTGAAGCAGGGGACACAGTCATTTCAAAGCCTCAGCTGTTTTCTGTTTAGCAAGAGGACAAAAGGAAATCCACCTAAGGGAATAGACTGCTTTTTATTTTGGGAAAAACACTGGGCTTTTTGATTATGCAGAGGGAAGGTTGGCGTTATTCCAACATGGACAGGTTGAGACAAGAGGAAAGCAATGGTTATGCATACCAATACAGAAGGCTCTCTTTCTAGTGGGCAGACAGAACCACCACTCGTGGCAGAATTTCACATGGTGGAAGAGAGGCTTTCCTCTTCTCTCTTGGGGAAAACAGAGTTGGGGCCTGAACTCCAGGCAGGGGAGATCTGGCCAGTGGCCCTCCTGCCTGTGAGAGTTGGGTTAGCTCTGCAGTCTGATGGTGGCCGGAAGGCAGTGTGGGGCTGGGGGGAGGCACACAGGGCACCCCAGGCCATGGGTCAGTGGACTCTAGGAGAGCCTGTAGGCAATCTCCAACTTAATTGTTTTCCTTGTGTAATTTTAACTCTCTTTTGTCAACCCCAAGCCTTCAGCGGTTTTCTTAACCTTACAGCCTTAAAAAAAAAAACTAAGAGCCCGTATCCACATTTGGAACAAAGGTGGGGCAGGAGAATGTGCTTTTCCTTTCGACCCCCTACTCTAAAGCCTGTTCAAGGAGGCATGGTGGTCCTGGAGCCCACGTGAGGGGCCACAGATTGGCCTTGGGGAAGGAGGAGGCTCATGGGATCCAGGGGACGATAGAGGCTCGGGCTGAGGCTTTGCTCAGGTGCGCAGGTGCAGAAGTGGAAAGGGACAGACTTCCTTCCCCATATCCTGGAGAGAGAGACCTTCAGAAGGAGAAAGTACGGCTTGCAAATTACACAGCACGGGTTGTTGGCTAGCGGCCATCTGGGTTGCCCTTAATATACACTGCAGTTGGCCAGAGTCTCAGAGGTTGTCCTGCCCTCCCTGCTCTCCACACCAGCTGTTCAGGGAAATTGCCAAACTGTAGCAGCCTCCAGCTCATTTCCCAGGAACGCCACTGCCAGCTGCTCTGCGGAGCTCAGAGCCAGCAATTAGAGGCGTCATTGAACCTTAGGTCATAACTCCCACCCCTACTGCAGATGAGGACACTGACCAATTCTGGGGCCATTACTATCTGCAGTGAGATGATCAAAGGAGGTGAGCTGGCCCCCCAACTCCAACTCCCACTTCACTGGTAGGGAACCTGGGCTCAGAGAGGTAACATGACTTGTTCAAGGTCACTCTATTGATCAGGGACAGGTTCATGACTTGGGTCCTAGGTCCCCCAACTCCTAATTCAACTCTCTTTCTGGATAGCCCATCACTCAGGTGGATTTCTTTTTTTTTTTTTTTTTTTTTTTGTGGTACGCGGGCCTCTCATTGTTGTGGCTTCTCCTGTTGTGGAGCACAGGCTCCAGACGCACAGGCTCAGCGGCCATGGCTCACAGGCCCAGCTGCTCTGCGGCATGTGGGATCCTCCCGGACCGGGGCACGAACCTGTGTCCCCTGCATCGGCAGGCGGACCCTCAACCACTGCGCCACCAAGGAAGCCCGATTTCTTTTTTTTTTTTTTTAAGATTTTTTTGATGTGGACCATTTTTTTTTTAAGTCTTTATTGAATTTGTTACAATATTGCTTCTGTTTTGGTTTTTTGGCCACAAGGCATGTGAGATCTTAGCTCCCCGACCGGGGATCAAACCCACACCCCCTGCATTGAAAGGTGGAGTCTTAACTGCTGGACCATCAGGGAAGTCCCCCTCAGGCGAATTTCTTTTTCACTGGAGAGAAAAGGGCTAGCTCAGGACATCCAGCCAGCTTGCCCTTTATTTACCAGATCGCCAAACACTTGGTCAGGTTTGGTCCTTCCAATCTCCTACGCTCCTTCAGGAGTCTTAAGGACACCTCCTTTGATCATTTCACTACAGATAGTACCAGAATTTTTCAGTTTTCTCATCTGTAATACAGAGATAATAGTAGGAGGGGTGATTATTAATTGAGTTAATTCCATGTAAAGAACTCAGAACAGTGTGTGGCACATAATAAGTGCTCAGAACAGGGTGTATGTGAACTCAACTCATTTTCATTATGTATGAAAGGCTGTGCCCAAAGGAGGCTGCAATCCAGTAAGAGTCAAATTTGAGTGGGGAAGGCACTCTGATCCCCAGCATTCATCCGTCAGTCAGTGGTCCCAGAAGCTAGGAAAGGAACAGCTGTACCCTAATAGTTCCCAGTCACCTGCTCTGGTCAAACCAAACAACAGGGTGAAGCCCAGCCCTGAGGCTGTGGGGTGCAGGAGTGGAGAGCGAAAGCAGTGGGAGATGCACTTACACTTTCATATCAAGCCAGCTTGGGTGTTGGCCTCACTTACCAGGTTTGGTTCTGCAACTTCTGCATTTCATAACTGGGGAGCCTCACTCAGGATGTAGAACCCCAGAAAGGTAAAGGTGTAGTATGGGAGTGGAAGAGGGCAGAGGACCTCCGTTTCCTCAGAGCCGTAGGAACCTCCCAGGTTACATGTAGGGAGCTCATTTTGTTTATTTTTTCCTTTATTCTTTGTTCCCCCTTCTCTCCTTTCCTTCATTTTCTGCCTTCCTCTGATGTTAAGTCCCTCACTCCTTGCATCCCAACCCCAGAGCTTATCACAGAAAATAAATCAGACTGAAGGGAGGGGGCAGTTGCAGAGACCATTTCAAGGAAGTGGTTTGACCCCCTCACCAAGGTAAGTAAATCCTTCAGAATTAGCTTGTAAAGTGGACTGGAGAGGAAGGAGATCTTCCAGGGGAGCCTGTAGCCCCAGAGCTGTTGGCTGAGCTCTAGGGCCCCTGGAGACAGATCCAACTCGGTCCTGAGAGCTAGGCTGGCTTTTAGCCCAAGCTTCCTGGTGGTGCTGGAGCACCTGTGAGGCGGTCTCAACTCCGACCTTTGCTCTAAGCTCCCTCAGGCCAGGGACTGGGTCGTAGGTGCTTTTCTTTTCTTTCATTTTAATTTTAATTTTATATTGGAGTATAGTTGATTAACAATGTTGTGTTAGTTTCAGGTGTACAGCAGAGTGATTTGGTTATACATATATCTATTCTTTTTCAAATTCTTTTCCCATTTAAGTTATTACAGAATATTCAGCAGAGTTCCCTGTGCTATACTGTAGGTCCTTGTTGGTTATCTATTTTAAATGTAGCAATGTGTACATCATAAGTGCTTTTTTTATGTTTTGTTTTTAGAATCAAATATTTTCTTCATTTTAAACTAGGTTTGTTACTTTTTTTTAAATATATATTTATTTGGTTTCACTGGGTCTTAGTTGCGGCATGCGGGCTCGTTAGTTGTGGCATGAGACCTCTTAGTTGAGGCATGCATGTGGGATCTAGTTCTCTGACCAGGGGTGGACCCTGGGGCCCCTGCATTGGGAGCGCAGAACCTTAACCACGGTGCCACCAGGGAAGTCCCATCATAGGTGCTTTTAAAGCATAGGATTGGGAGTCCCAAGATCCAGCTTGGCTTGGGGCTGGTCTACATTTGGGCTGTGTGAACTGGGGTGAGCCTTTAATCTCTTTGAACTTCAGCTGTCCTCGGGTCTGGCTGAGATAATGTACGCTAGTGTTCTGTGAACTGTGAAGTTCAATGCTGAGGGTAGTTATGAATACTTTTACTGATTTAAAAAAAAA